AATAAGTCATGTAATATTAAACAAAGGTAAAACCTTTGAAACCTTAGTTTAGTGATGTTAGATCTGCATACGAGTCTCATTTCATGTCTATATGTACCCTTGTATTCTCCACTACCCATCATTATTGGCATGGAACTATTTAGGTTATTCCGACACTTTTCAACATTATTTTTCAAATAAGATTATCTTAAATAACACAAATTAATGAAACCTTCTACTTTTGAACTCCACTATATGAGGGCGTTAAAAGGCAGAACTAGGGTTTTTACATACCTAATCTCCCAGCCGTCATTTCTCTTTGATCTACCTCATTCTATCATGTCTCGCTCTATCGTGAACCTTACACCTCCTCTTGATCACCTCTACCCCATCTTGTGCAAGATTCCTTGATCTGATTGTCTCAAAACATGATGCTTTCCTTCTTTTGTGAGGAGATGACAGCGAAAGAAGAGGTTTGTTGTCATCAGCAACTTGTTTGCATTGAAAGGTAATCTAGGGAGCTTGGAGTGATTATCTCTAGTGGGGTGAAGGTTTTAGGGAATATCAATCGAAAGTGCAGTATTTATCCTAGGGTGTTAGTCTACTTGACAAATTTTCACCACAACTTTGATTTCTTTCATCTTGTTTCTCTTAGTCCTTGTTTAATGATTGAAAATCATATGGTGCACCTTTATTTTGTAAAATAGGTATGGTGGGATTTTCTCACATGTATAATCATTAGTTTTGAGAGTAGCAAGATGTAATCAACAATGCTATGTATACCACATCCTGAATTTATGGATGAAGAATCACTTTGAAAGCTGCATTATAGAAAAATGGGTTTATGAGACTATATCGGTTGGGATCATTAATTTAAAATTTTATTTACTAATTTTGTTAATAAATATTTAATTTGAGATGCTTCCAAATAAAGTTCAGTTTATTGGAATTATTTTCCTTTTATTCAGTTACTTATTTATTTAGAAAAATGTGTAGCCAGCACAGCGCCATAGTCTCCTTCAATGGAAAAAAAAAGTTCCTAGGATCCCTCTTAAGCAGATTGCAATTTTTTTTAACTCGATGTCAATACTATGCTTTTGTAAAGTTGATGGAAACTTAGTGCTTTAAATTCATGTCATTTATGAAATCTATTTGCAATTGAGGGGAATTCCAATGAAAATCTTAATTTATTAGGAGGGGAATTGCAATTTATTATACTTTCTTCTAAATGAAGGTGTGCATATATGGAGTAGAGCATAACTATGTGTAATTTGTAATCCATTGTGGTGGTACCTATCACATTCTTTTTTGTTAATGAGCCTTGAAATTGTTCCTTCAGATAGTGATATCTAGATCATAAGATTTACTCACCATGTACTTTCCTTTGGGGTTAAAATTTTATTTAACATATCACAGAAGTAAAGCTTCTGTGAAACATAGTTTCAAAAGTGAGTTGGTGATGAAGGAAAATCATGAACATAGTTTTCATTCAGTGAAAGGTTTCAAAATTATGGATTCCATTAAAAATTCTATCAACATTGAAATGAAACAATCCATTGACTTCACGGCTGGTAGAGGAGAAATATGTTATGCCCACATGGTAGTCAATTTCCAAATGGATGTTTTTCCTCCCTGTAGTTTTTTGAATTAAGGGAATTTTGTATCATTTGGAAGACCATATAGAATTAGGTTTTGGAGACTCAACATTGTTTCTACTGATTCCGACATAGGGAAGTCAATTGGCTGCCTTGCGCTCCCTTTTGAAGGTTGGCATGACCCATTCATTTGTGATGAGGGCTTTCCATATCTAGATCGATATGAACTTCAGAAAACGGGTCGCAATTACCTACCAATGAAGCTTATTACTACCCTTGTGTGGCATGGGATCCAAGATTGGGCCGGCATGGCGCCCGGGGGGGGAGGGGGGGGGGGGGATGTCATGGAACAAAAGCCATTTTCGATATCTTGTTTTGCCTGGATCTAATCTTCGGTGGGTGATCTTATCCAGACCCATTCGTACATTGCGACACTATACCAAGCCATTAGCCAAGAAAAACAGGTTAAAAAATGTGGAGGACAGTACTTTTGGCCTCTAGGGATGATCCTTCCTACATCCTGACTTCTCCCATACGTCGTGTTACATATTTTGGGTCAAGGAAAACGGTAAATTTCTTTAGAGAATGGAAGAATATCTTGTTTTGCCTTGGTCTAAACTTCCGTGCCTGATCTTATCTAGACCCATTCGTACATTGGCATACTGCTATACCAAGTCACTAGCCTAGAAAAACAGGTTGAACAATGTGGAAGGGGACACTGTTCTCGGCTTCTAAGGATGATCCTCCTACATCCCAACTTCTCCCATTCCTGGGTTTACATATTTTGGGGCCAAGGAAGAAGGGTAATTTTCTTTCAGAAATGGAAGAATATCTTGTTGTGCCTGGGTCTACACTTCCGTCCTTGATCTTCTCCATACCTACGTGGCGTTAAAAAATGTGGGGTCGTGGAAGAAGGGCAAATCTCTTTCGAAGATGGAAGAATATCTTGTTCTGCCTGGGTCTAAGCTTCCGTGCCTGATCTTATCCAGACCCATTCGTACATTGGCATACTACTATACCAAGGGATTAGCCTAGAAAAGCACGTTGAAAAATATTGTTTCCTTCTAAGAAAGATCCTCCTACATCCAGACGTCTCCCATGCCCGGTTTCACATCTTTCTTTGATTTGATCGCCTAAGCCGACGAAAAGTGTGTTGGGTTGGTCTTCACAAAGCTCTTACCATCAATCACCACACTCGATGAGACCCATAAGATCTAGTAATCAATGAATCGCAATGGGTACACTGGAGAAGAAACGAATTAGTCAATAATTATGTGAGATCGCATCATTGTTTTGGTTCATACTCTGGGTTGAGCGTTGATTACCTTCTGATGATTATCTGTTCAAAGCTATCGTGAAGATATTTGAATTTTTTGCATCTATGTATACATGAACTATAGTCTTATGTAAACCAATCTGAATGTATGGAGAAATAGAGGTGATATACGTAATAATTTTTAACCCATTTTAGAGATCTTAGACCACTTAATCGTTGCACAATCTCTCTTGATCTTTATAAAGGCGAGGATTTGATCCCATATAAAAGGGCGACGAGAAGTTGGCATTTGTCGAAGAGAGGATAGGGACTGGTGCACAAAGCACCAGAGGTGGCAGGCTGCTATATGGGACATATTGTGACTTGGCGAAGGCCAATGAAGAGTCAGTTGACCTTGTATGACTAGGCTTCTTCAACTCTTGAGCAAAACCTAGGTAATAATTGGATTAGGTAGGCTAGGTCTAGTTTCATTTCGGGCATGAACGATTTCGAGTTTTGCATGCAGATGTGTTGGGTTGGTTTGGGCGCTAGGCTTACTGTACACATTTGGCTAATGAGGATGTCTACTATGTAACATTTTTCTATTTTTGTGGTAATAAATAATCATACTATTTCTAAAGATAATTTTTTTTTCACCAATCCAAATACTAAACATTTATCCAACTAGGGTCGGAGTCTTCTTCTTGATAGCATCACGTTAGAATGCATTGGATGATGTGACTCCTAGAGCTGGACTAAGAAAGTGCAAACAATAGTATTATGTTCTAATGGGGATGAGATTGATGAAGTTACTGAGCTTGTATAAGATTGCTGAATATTCTTCTTATTATGTGATTTCCATTAATCGTTTTCTCCCTCAAGTCTAGTATTATGAGTAGGTTACATGTGTTCTTGTGAAATGTTCATGGTTATTAATGATTGTAAGATCAAAAAAAACCTAGAGATCTAATAAATTTATTTGAATTTATTGATCAAGATATTTATTCTGGATACTCATATGATCGATCATCTACCATGTGAATCTTCAGCTATGAAATACTTTCCAGTTTTCTCTCAACACACGATGCGTATTGATTGGACATTTATTTGAGACGCTATTGTACAAATTTGACCTCTTCCGTCATTGTCATATGAACATGTCAACATCATACATAACATGGTGCTTCATCAATTAGTAGAAAACCACATTAGATTGAGATAATTGCATCAGATCGGGAGCCTTGGCACTCGTTTACCATGTAAAATAGCCTCCTAACTTTACTATAGATGAAGTAGACACAAAGGCACTGTGACCCACCAAACAAGAACGTGAAGAGCCAAATCAAGGTAAAGATCTGAAGTGACAAAGAGCGAATAATGCTCGAATCATGGACTAAACAAACTTAGATTCTCATAAGAAAGTTTTCAAGATGTTTGAGCCAGACCCAGAAACCTATCAAACATCATACGCATCAAAACCGTGAGACCCCCCTTGAAGCTGTGTGAGTTATGTGCTCTTCTGGCATGGCTTAGGCTGCCTTATACTTGCGAGATTGCTGCAAGTCCAGCTCCAACTGGTTCCTCCACAAGCAGGGCTTCACTCAGTCTCCATATCTTCAGCTCCACCTCTCAGCATTGCCTTCCATGGCCTTCTAATGGCCATCAGCTCACTGAACCCCTCCTCTCCGACCAATGCACATTGTTGCGATCATATCCCCAGGAATATGGGACAGATTTTATCGAGGTATAGTTCATTAGAAAGCTTTGATCTGTAGCTTTCATTTGGTTGAAAATTTATGGAAATTGGTGGATTAATGAAGGAGTTATCATGGTATGAATCCAGGAGGAAAGCACACCCCAACACCAGCTCAGCCCCCTGCTCGCCCACTCGAGCACCCTTCCTATCCGAACCTCACTCGCGAGGGGCCTTTCAGCCGTCGATAAAATATGATCCAACGGTAGATATTCAAAACCGGGGGCAGTATTGATCCAGAACGTGGGGGGCGCAGCCAATCAGGGCCCGGCGCTGGGCTGCCGTTCTGCTTTCTCCCACCGTATTTAAATCCCCTCCCCGTCTCTTACGCCGTCGCCTCCATCCCAAGTCCGACGATCATCTCCATTTTCATCGGCGATCTCCATCTCTGTCGTCTTCCTCTCTGTTCCTCTAGCCGATGTCTCCGACTGAAGAGACTGCCGCCGCCTCGGCGGAGCCTGCGGCTGAGGCTGCGCCTTCCGAGCCCGCCGCAGCCGATGAGAAGGCCCCGGGGGCCGGTGCCGGGGCGAAGAAGGGCGCGAAGGCCGCCAAGGAGGCGAAGCCGAAGAAGGCTCCGGCTCCGAAGAAGCCTCGCGCTCCTCCCTCCCATCCTCCCTATTTTGAGGTAAGATCGCTCGAGATCTGGATTTCTGCGGTCGATATTTGCCGATTCGGGGGAGAATCCGGCGGTGGATCTGTTCTGATCGGTGTCTGGTTAACTGGTTTGTAGATGATCACCGAGGCGGTCTCCACCCTGAAGGAGAGGACGGGGTCTAGCCAGTACGCCATCACCAAGTTTATCGAGGACAAGCACAAGGGCCACCTCCCTCCCAACTTCAAGAAGCTCCTCCTCGCTCAGCTGAAGAAGCTCACCGCTGCCGGCAAGCTGACAAAAGTGAAGAACTCGTACAAGCTTCCTCCCGCCAACCCGCCCCGTCCAAAGGTTGCCGCTCCTCCGCCTCCCGTCAAGCCGAAGCCGAAGCCCAAGGCTGCTGCGGCGGCTGCGCCGAAGCCGAAGACCCCCGTGAAGCCGAAGGCCGCCAAGCCAAAGACAACGGCGAAGCCGAAGGCCGCGAAGCCTAAGGCCGCCGCGAAGCCCAAGGCGGCGCCGCCTGCCACCAAGCCGAAGACGGTGGCGAAGCCGAAGGCTGCCGCTGCTAAGCCCAAGGCCGCGGCACCAGCCGCCAAGTCCAAACCGAAGGCAACCCCGGCGAAGCCCAAGCCGAAGCCCAAGGCGCGGCCGGCAAAGGTCGCCAAGACGTCGGCCAAGGACAGCCCCGGTAAGAAGGCCGCCCCGAAGGCCGCCGCCTCTCCGGCGAAGAAGCCCTCCGCAGCTACGAAGCCGAAGCCCAAGACCGTGAAGGCCTCTGCCAAGTCGCCGGCGAAGAAGGCAGCCCCGCCGAAGCGGACCAGCGCGAGGACAGCGAAGTAGGTGCAGAAATGTAGATTAGGATCGCCTTCTTCCTCTCCCTCCCTCCCTCCTTCCTGCAAGGTGAAGTTTCTGTATATGTGATGAAGATTAGTGCTCTCTATGCTTGCTCGTCATCTCCTGCAGGCATGCCTTTGAATTGAATCAGACAAAAAAGAGGACGTACACCAGTAGAATCTCCAAACCCACGAAAGTCTCTTCCTCATCTTGTTCATCTCGCCATATATAGGGTTCATCGAATTTCTATTTCTGGTATCCTGAGATTTGGTTGCTCAATGATGTTTGACCGCCTTCGCGGATCTCTGCCCTGTTCTTCCTGGTTCTCCCCACCGTTGCGGATTTTTGCGAGGAACCCCCTCGTTGCCTCGCATATCGTGAGATGACGCCCGCCACAATAGAAGTGATGGAAGGTGAGCTAATAAGGGGTGTTATGAGGGCGGCTGATTCTTCTCTTTCTTACGTGGCGCGTGGATATACTAGGTGGGACCATGGCGCACAATAGCATGCCGGGCGTGTCAGTGGCAGTCGCCAATCGGTCTGCGCACGTGGGAGGACCCGTCTGTGAGGATAACGGACACGTGGGAACATGGTGGAAGGGAAGGAGAGAGAGAGAGAGAGGGTCCGAAGAGTCGCTATGGTCTTTACGGTCAACCTGTTTGTGCCTATATTTTGTCAGAAATAAAAAAGCCGTCTACTCACCTCTTTGGAGAGCATTCAAGCTACCAGCTGCCAAAGCCCATTTTCCCCACAAGAGCTGGAGGGAGAGAGAGAGAGAGAGAGAGAGAGAGAGAGAGAGATTCACATGCTCTTTCTCCCAGTTCATCGCATCTCGTAAAAATAAGAATCAATGGCAACACGTCATTTTAAAAGGTCAAGTCAATCAAAGAATATGAATGAACAATTATAAAATATTGGTAGGGGAAAGACGGGGAAGAGACAGGAATGAACAATTAAATAATTTAAGTACTGGTAGCAAGCAAAGCTTCAAGCTATAAAAATTGCCCCCCTTATTTGCTCACATTACTAAGTTCGAAATCTCTTTCTCTCTCCATCTTTATCTGTTTTTGCACAAAAATCTGCCTTTGCTCTTAATTGAAGTAGTAAACACATGATGGATATTTTCTTTTCACAATGACACCTACAAACCTGTACTTTATGAGATTACTTCCACCAATCAATTTGATATTACTTTACTAACTTAATAAAATGTCAAAATTTTACATGTTAAAATCATAATAAATTGATGCTATAACACCCAATCCCTTTTATATCATGAGAATTTTTATGGACCAAAGGAGGCTCTTCCAAATTAACAACTCTAGGGGCCAATAAGATTAGTACCTACTAATCTCCTCTAGATTATTACTCTAGATGGGTCTAGATTAAAATGTTTTCAAAAGACAAGTCTAGAATGAGCTATCATTCTTTGTCAATCAACTCCAAGCTTTGTAAGGCTTACAATGAAGATTCATTTGAAAGTTCCCTGATTTTATAAAAAAATCTTTTAATTTATCATTTGAAAGTTTCACATTGAAGATTTCTCTTTGCACCATTGATTTTTTTTTAAAAAAAAGTTTATTGTATTTCTAAGAATAAAAGCACATACAACATCCTGTCACTCTATTTCGAGTAACTTGTGACCATTATCCCTTGGGGGTAGGGGGGTGTTCCCCCACTTCCATTCTTGATCTAGATTGACTATAGACTAATTGATGCATCTAGTTCATTACCAGTATTTTAGTTGGTCTTTCTAGGCTTGGGGTTTATATTAGCATCCACCCATTCCAACTTCAGTCATCTTGGATGGGCTAATTGGGGGATTCACCTATTCTCTCCACCACTTCACCTCTGTTCATAAGGAATGGGCCTTGGAGCATGCCTTGGCTGCATTTCCTCAGCTCCCAATCTCACAATAATTTACTGCACTCGTCCTCATACCTTTGACCCTTGCTTAATGGTATTTCGGTTCTTATTCCCACTAATACTACTACTTTGATTCTTTAGAAGGAGGGCCCTGAAGAAGTGGGTAGCATTTTCCTCATGGAGTTACCCCTTCTTCTCCTTACCTCTTCCTCTTCTTCTTTTTTTTTTTAGAGGTCTGAGGCAAGGCAGGGGGAAATTATTGACTTCTAGACCTTTCACTCCACTTCCTAAGGTTCACCTCCTTTTGTTCTTCCTTTACTTTCCTTTTTTTTCTGTCTTTTCCTTGATAGTAGACTAGATGGTTCAAAGTACCAAGGTTTACCAAAGGAAAGGCTTCATATAAGGGATATGTGGACCTCACCATGCTGCTCTGGTCACATTGGTTAGGTTAGCCTCAACCATGTCCTCTATCCCATGTCCATTATGGCTCAAGAGGAAAACTAGTGAAGACAAGTTGTGTGTCTATCTCATAAACTTTCCTTCATCCTATGCTTGAAAAGTACTATGACTATAGCTCAATAATAAGTTTGTCTATAAGGAAAACTCTCCTTTCCTTGAGGCATCTTGTTGGGTGCAGATCCTCCCTTAGATCATATCTTTCATCATGGTGCTTATGTATTATTGGCTCTTCCTTCTAGTCCCTGTTATATGCTCTTTGTAGATTTGTGTCTGATATTGGGGAAACCCCATCTATCCAGGTTGCATAGACCTCTAACCTCTTGTGGGAGTCCTCTGCAGCATTGAACACACCATTCTTCTACTTTAATGCTTCAACCTTTGCCAAGTAGTTTGCTGAACCATTTCCTTCCTTCAGTTGATAACGGATCTTGCACAGAATATTTAAGTGGTTTAAAATTTGTTGCCACTATTTTGATATGCTCTCCATGTTTTACATGTTTTAGATCGTAACATGGTTGCTAATGCAAGTGAATCTATCTTCACCTCAACATTTAATAAATGACGATTATAACATATAGTGAGACCATAGCCATGGCCTATCATTCAACTTCTATGTTAGTTGCATGTCTATATTTTTTTTTCAAAGCACAAATTAGTATACCATTATGGTCTCTGATAGTTCCCTTTCCTCATGCCTTGCTAGGATTTTCTATTGAAATGTTGTTAACATTGAGTTTATTAGTATTGAGAGGGGATGGGATCAAGGAGGTTAGCTTTATGGTATGGGTTATTCTTGCAATGGGAAGATGGATCCTCCATATTTGGAGTGTTACCTACCGCTTTTGTGAAAGAGGGAATCTTTCTCCTAATAGAGAAGCAATCTTACTCACCCACCTTTTGCATCTGTAGAGGATGAGGACAGTAGAGCACTCGCCCCCTCTCATTTGAATTGTATTTCTTCCTATCCACTTCCTCATAGGAGATAGGCAAAGGTGATCATGGGGAGGGTATCCTCTAGGGTCCTTTTTTTTCTTGTCTCTAAAAAAAATTGCAACCATTGATGAAAGGTTTTTTGGTCTCGATTTGGCAAGTTCCATGATTGTAAGAACCAGTCCTAGAATTTGGTTGCCCATTTACTCAAGAAAAAGAGATGAAGAGTTGATTCTTCTTTAGGGTTATATGGGCAACATGAACATTCAAAGACCAACTAAATGCCATGCTTCCTAATATTATCATCTAGAGGAGTCAACTATGGAATACCCTCCATAGAAAAAATGAGATTTTTGTGAGAAAACACTCATGTCATATCTCACATCCCTATAGTTTAACATCCCACTTTTTCATAATTCTCTCTTAAGTTGATCTGGTTTGTAAAATCTCCATGAATTATTAACGTCCATATTCTCTTATATTTTTAACTTACTTTTATAGATGGGTTGGTTTCTACTGACTGTAAAATTCTAATGGACACTCTTGCTAATGTGACTTAGTCATTAGATAATAAATCATGTAAATTTAAAATTTATAAAACTAGAAAATACTAATTTTTAGATTTTTAGAATATTTTAGAAAAAATAAATCAATTATAATTTTATAAAAGATTCCAAAAATAATGGGGAATTTCTAAGTCGATCACAAGGATATAAGGTAATATTGGATAATATTTTAGAATTTTCATAATAAAATTGATTTTTTATGATTTTTAGACTAATGATAAATATAAAATATATTTAAGAATTCACAAAAAAGAAAAACTAAAGATGTAGATGTCATGATGATGTTAGCACCTTGAGGAACATGATTTGGATAGAAATAGAGTTATATTCGATGATTCTTATGTAAGCAATTACAAACGATTTAATAGGTCAAATTAAGATATGTAAAAGCTAAAAAAATCATAATCGAATGAAAAAGTTTTCAAAACTTGAAATCACATAAAGTATCATTAAATTAAGTGAAAATTAGGTTGAAAACAGGAAAGACAAAGTTCCAGCCTTACAACAACGATCGCTAGAATCCTATGTGTTCGAGATGGTTATCATACGATGTCTACAACCTCAAGGACTCTTTTGGACATGAACGACTTGAGAATTCGTTGGATCTTCTTTCAAAGTCTAGAAAATAATGATGGAAACTAAATTAATTAAAAGTAGTGAAATAGAGTTCTGGCATCGCGGTGACAATGCATTGGTGATGTGTCAAAATTTTGAGTGTTTAAGAGGATTATCGTGAAATGTCCACAGCCTCAAAGGCTCTCTTTAGATGAAGATGATGTGAAAAATATCTAGATCTTCTTACGAAGAAATCAATGAAATAAGTCGTCGAGTCATCTTCAACAATTGTCACCTAGTAGAGTAGAAAAATGACGATTTTACGACTCTCCAAAGCCTATCACTTAACATAGATGAATTAGATAGAGGTGAGGTGCATCTTAAAAAGATTTATCCTTAGGTTCACAAAACAAAATGAGGCTCTTCATCGCATTTAGTACACTCTCAGGAGGTGGCGACTTGTCTCCTAGTAGATCGTCCTCTTCCCAATGATAACTTATTCGTCAATCAATTAGAGATGATTTACTCGATTGATTCACAATTTTTTATCTATAATCATTTAATAATTTTAATAACAATGTTCCATGAATCACATTGTCGTTGATTGAGCAATTTTGGTGGCTTAATCTT